TGCCAACACACATTTCAGTTCAAACGACTTGTAAAAGTGCATGTAGCATTATATGACCCCTTTAAAACCTTGTTCCTCATATCCAGCCATGGAGGGCCACTGCCCTCCAGAGTTTAACTCCAACTCTAATCAAAGACACAGGCTAAGTAAGGTCTTCAAAATTACTAGAAAATTACTGGGAGTTGAGTTTGATCAGGGTTTGAGCTGAACTCAAGGCAGTAGCACTCCAGGGTCAGATTTGAGGAACCCTGCCTTAACGTTTACCTTCATACAAAAACTGAGTGATTGGGCCGCAGTTACTTTGTTTCGGACACAGCCAGTCTGTCTTTCTCTCTCTCTGTCAAACAGCACTATGATACTCACTCCCAGGTTTCATGTTCTCAGAAAGGGGCACAGGAAGTGACACGAGGATAACGCTCTCTGCTACCCGCCTCATGCAACGTTCCTCCTTACAGATGCACATTTCTCTCTCTCCAACTCTGCAAGAGCACTTGAACTGTGTCACTCCTGCCAAAATTGCACAACCTTCCAAGGAGTCAGGAAGAAGTACTTTGGGAGCCATCATTGGAAAATCCTTCAGGAATTTCAGTGTGTCTGTTGGGCGAGTGGTGTATGAAACCAGCAAAGACACTCTTTTAGACGGTAGACCAATATCGGAGTGTGGCTGGAAGACTTGTCACGTGTTCTCATTCAGGGTGGCATGGGAGGGAGTTTTTATTTGTCGATTTGTTTATTTGTACGAAATGTAACTGACACACAATGTACAGTCCTTTTCCCCCAATGCTGCAGGGTTACATTTGATCCGTGTTCAAATGTGTCAAGCTGTGTGATTCAGCCAAATTTCTTACCTTTGCCTTTCTTACATTACTGATGCTGATGTTTGTATTCAAGTTTTATGCGAGAAAAAAAAAGTGCTAAACTCAAGTATTTTTAAAACATGGAGAGCAAATGATAGGCGAACATTTCAGGTATACAGCATTAGAAGATTTTTATGAGAAATTATGTTTAGAATGTTGTCATAACCCTTAACCTTAACCCCCATCCCAATATAGCATGAGCCTTTGAAAAGATCTATCTGCTTTCTAAGGCAAATTAATCCTGTTATTGACATGGGATTTCACAAAACTGACAATGGGAGAGATTGTCAAGCAATTAAAAGTTGGTAAATTCAAATGTCCAGTGTCTTAAAAAAAAAAAAAGTGTCAGGCTTGTGTTTCATTAAAATAAGTGGTTTAATGTTTACATTAGCTATTGTAAGTACATATAGGTGTTCTGAAGGAAAATCACATTCAGGAGGAGACCATCAGTGGAGTGTTGGCTCTGAGCTTCTTAAGGCAGGCTCCTACTGAAGTTCTCCAGGTGACTACCGTCTTCCTGAGTCGTCTCACTTTTTCAAGGCTTCGGTCAACTCAGGTACAACCTAGAAATGGATACACAGATACATAAACTGGCCCAACTCTTTCAACACCCTCACCCTGTTTACACCTGGTATTAAGATGCATTTTTTTTATCCGATACCAAGTGGACAAAACTACAGGGTCTGAAACATTTTTAGCTAGTCCACTTTCGAACACTTCCAGAGAAAGTCGAAAACGCATTCGACCAGATTGCTCATGTGTAAACGCTCATATGGTCAAATGTGTTCGAACATCCACTAAAGACAGTCTCCTCTCTGCCTGCTGACTGAATTCTTAAACATTTTGGGATGTGTTGTTGAAGCGTGTTAGCCAGATGAGATTTTAAACTTTGCCGGCTGAAATCGTAAGTTCGCTTTCAAGTCATGAACAAAATGTAAAAAGTACAATGTTCTCTTAGCAGTCCTGATTCTAACAAACCCACAGTGTTCGGCGTAGTTTTATGCTCTGATAGCCACAAGCAAAAGCTGCTGCTCTCTGTATCATTTTCCATTGTCTCATTTCTCAGTCTAATGTAAATTACACCAGCTTATTTCGCAATATTAGATAAAAGGCCCATACATAAACCCATCCCTAAACACTTCCCTCAAAGAAATCAGAACAGAAGTGGCTGAAAGTGGACAACACAGCAGGTGGAAACAGTTGAAAGTGGATAAAACGGCAGGTGTAAACGGAAATGTGTCTCCATCTACTTGTGATCCGAGTGACCGAAACATTTTAATACCAGATGTAAACAGGGCCCCTTACAGCAGAACTCATTTGAATCCGTCAAACTTTTCTCCATTGTTTAAGCACCCTAGACAGAGTGGTTGTCATTTGAGAACATCCTGAATTTTTCCTATACGTCGAGTTTCTCATCTAAAACCAAGGTGCTCCCGTATTCCAGAGCACCCTGAAAAACTATAGCATCACCCCAATATGTCCCCAGCTCACTTTTCAATCTAAGGAAGGAGGAGAAAGCCCATACATTTTAATCAGTTACCCGAGGAGTGATCATGTGTAAGTTGATCTGAAAGCCGCCCCTGCTCACCAGCACTGCCCATCATCGGCAATCACTTATACACAGTTTACCTGCACACCTGTGTCTAGCACGCACCGCCTGAATAAAAGATGATCAACAGGGCAAACACAGGGAAATAAACGATGCTAGCGTTACACGAGGTAAACACCAACAACAGATGGACGTGGTGTGTGTGTGTGGCAGCCCTCTGGCACCATGAACGTGTGTGCCATCTTAAACTATGGCGTGCAGCCGGGCGTGTAAAGCTCTGGTGAGAGGAGACAGAAAATAAAGGTGAAAAACTACACCCGCACACTTATGCCGACTATCAATTACTTTTCTGCTCCCAAAGAAGGAGAAGTTGTGTATAAGGCTTCTGGTTGGAGCCACGAGACGCCACTGATTAATTCAGCAACTCAATAATTCAGAAGTTGCACACACTCCATTAGGTGGAATAATGCTCCCTGCAAAATTTAAAAGGGAAATATGGGACAGCTTTTTTGAATTGCTCTGGTTTTGGTTATAGATGGGTTTTGGCTGAAGAAATTAATACCAGGTCATTTGAAATTTACAGCGCTATTAATAATAAACTTGAACGGTACTGCTGATTGTCCGAGGCACTGGATTAAAATGTCTCTGATGACCTGATAAGGACCTTTTGTGCAAATGAGATCCATGTTTTAGAGGAAGAAGACTGTATCTTTCCTGTTACGTACACATTATCCTTAGCTGGAACTTCAAATGCCAAAAGGCTTCTCCTCCCTGTCCTGAGGAATGGGGCCCATTTTTAGTGATGAAATAAGGAGTTCGTGTAGGAATGGTATCTCATCAGTGTCAAAAAAAAAAAAAGGTCTGGAATTTTCACCATTTTTACCTTCATGAGGGGATTTTTTTTATAACCATATAAAAAAAATTGTCATCCTTTTATGTTAAATATTTCCATTTAATTAATTTAAATCAATTCTTACACTAAATATTACATAAGCGGTAATTTCACCGGAGTTTTAAAACATCAGATGTTACAATAACAATAAAAAACAATCATTATAATAAAATGATATAAACTCTTGTTCTGAATGATTATAGGCGGATCAAAAATCAAAAACTCTTTAGTTATATTAATTCTATTTATAACTACACCAAAAAAAATAATTATATTAAAAGATAATAAAATAAAATAAATTAAGCAAAAAAATTACATGAATATATATATATATATATATAGCACCACAACTCTCTAATCGCTAGGTCACAACTACAACTAGGAATCTTACCTTGAACAGATCTGCCACTATGCCATAGTCAGCCACCTGGAAGATGGGGGCTTCTGGGTCCTTGTTGATGGCCACGATGGTCTGTAAAACAATTAAGTAAATTATTTGGCGTGGTGGGCTGTATTGAATAGAAAGCCTCTATGGGATGAGCGCTGATGGACTATAGTCTCCATAAGCTGACATGAAAAATAATTCCCAAAAGTCAATTCCCAGAACAAGCGCAGTAGTAACAAAAAATGCTAACACATTATTCTTGTAAACATCTCATCAACATGAGGATGATGCTCATATATGGAACATATGGATGAAGATGGTTGTGATGGGCTCTGACAGATAAAGCAGCGCTACCAGAAACTCTATTACAAAGGTGCAGAATAGAAAATGCAGATGAATTATGGATGCAGGTAAAAAGCTACTCCACATCGCTTATAAAACACTCCATTCCAATACACCATCACACTTAAAAGTGAGTTAACTTGGCATATTCTGGAAACTCTTTGAAACACCGCTGCTCATGGGTAGGATTTCCTCTGATTGTGGATATTATCACAGAAAATGATAACTTCTTAGTGTACTACAGTGTGAAGGTGTGTATATATTACTAATTGTACCTTGCTATCTTTCATTCCAGCAAGATGTTGGATCGCTCCAGAGATGCCAACCGCAATGTACAGCTCCTGTAGAGTAACCAAAAAAGTATTAAAATTATTTTAAAAGGGACTTATTATACAAATCAGCAATTTCTTGCTCTTTTGAATAAAAGTCACATTTTTGACCGCCCATATTGAGAGGAGACAGAAAATAAAGGTGAAAAACTACACCCGCACACTTATGCCGACTATCAATTACTTTTCTGCTCCCAAAGAAGGAGAAGTTGTGTATAAGGCTTCTGGTTGGAGCCACGAGACGCCACTGATTAATTCAGCAACTCAATAATTCAGAAGTTGCACACACTCCATTAGGTGGAATAATGCTCCCTGCAAAATTTAAAAGGGAAATATGGGACAGCTTTTTTGAATTGCTCTGGTTTTGGTTATAGATGGGTTTTGGCTGAAGAAATTAATACCAGGTCATTTGAAATTTACAGCGCTATTAATAATAAACTTGAACGGTACTGCTGATTGTCCGAGGCACTGGATTAAAATGTCTCTGATGACCTGATAAGGACCTTTTGTGCAAATGAGATCCATGTTTTAGAGGAAGAAGACTGTATCTTTCCTGTTACGTACACATTATCCTTAGCTGGAACTTCAAATGCCAAAAGGCTTCTCCTCCCTGTCCTGAGGAATGGGGCCCATTTTTAGTGATGAAATAAGGAGTTCGTGTAGGAATGGTATCTCATCAGTGTCAAAAAAAAAAAAAGGTCTGGAATTTTCACCATTTTTACCTTCATGAGGGGATTTTTTTTATAACCATATAAAAAAAATTGTCATCCTTTTATGTTAAATATTTCCATTTAATTAATTTAAATCAATTCTTACACTAAATATTACATAAGCGGTAATTTCACCGGAGTTTTAAAACATCAGATGTTACAATAACAATAAAAAACAATCATTATAATAAAATGATATAAACTCTTGTTCTGAATGATTATAGGCGGATCAAAAATCAAAAACTCTTTAGTTATATTAATTCTATTTATAACTACACCAAAAAAAATAATTATATTAAAAGATAATAAAATAAAATAAATTAAGCAAAAAAATTACATGAATATATATATATATATATATAGCACCACAACTCTCTAATCGCTAGGTCACAACTACAACTAGGAATCTTACCTTGAACAGATCTGCCACTATGCCATAGTCAGCCACCTGGAAGATGGGGGCTTCTGGGTCCTTGTTGATGGCCACGATGGTCTGTAAAACAATTAAGTAAATTATTTGGCGTGGTGGGCTGTATTGAATAGAAAGCCTCTATGGGATGAGCGCTGATGGACTATAGTCTCCATAAGCTGACATGAAAAATAATTCCCAAAAGTCAATTCCCAGAACAAGCGCAGTAGTAACAAAAAATGCTAACACATTATTCTTGTAAACATCTCATCAACATGAGGATGATGCTCATATATGGAACATATGGATGAAGATGGTTGTGATGGGCTCTGACAGATAAAGCAGCGCTACCAGAAACTCTATTACAAAGGTGCAGAATAGAAAATGCAGATGAATTATGGATGCAGGTAAAAAGCTACTCCACATCGCTTATAAAACACTCCATTCCAATACACCATCACACTTAAAAGTGAGTTAACTTGGCATATTCTGGAAACTCTTTGAAACACCGCTGCTCATGGGTAGGATTTCCTCTGATTGTGGATATTATCACAGAAAATGATAACTTCTTAGTGTACTACAGTGTGAAGGTGTGTATATATTACTAATTGTACCTTGCTATCTTTCATTCCAGCAAGATGTTGGATCGCTCCAGAGATGCCAACCGCAATGTACAGCTCCTGTAGAGTAACCAAAAAAGTATTAAAATTATTTTAAAAGGGACTTATTATACAAATCAGCAATTTCTTGCTCTTTTGAATAAAAGTCACATTTTTGACCGCCCATATTTGCATTTCACTGCCTATTCAGAACTCAGCAACTTTGCCTGTGTATGAACGGCCAGTAGTTTTCACATGCAGCTAATTAGCCAATCAAGTACATGACTTTTCTAATCTAAATTACAGTTGTTGTTGTTTTTTGTTCAAGAAATCAACAAATATTATAAGTGGATTTTGGGGAGAAAATGAGATGCTTACAAAGAATACATCCATTAAATTATTATTAAAAAAATATATATTTTTTAAATAACACTGTGTATGTACATATACAGTATACATATATATATATATATATATATATATGTGTAAAAAATGTGTGTGTGTGTGTG